CCAGCAGCAATATTTGTAATAATAAATGTTCATCAGTTTGGAAATGTTATAGGTTGCGATCCCTCCATATCATAAAAAGATATGCAATTATTTCAAAGGTGGATGTAGATAATGATAATAGCTGCGATGAGACCACCGATGATAATGATAGTAATAATGGCTAATGCTCTTGGAGTATTTACTATGCATTCGGGCCTGGGCTCAATGTTTTACTGCCATGTCTTATTTAAACTTGGAACAACCCATTTTGAAATGCATTCCTATTGGGCCCATTTTACAATGCGGAAATGGAGGCACAGAAACCTGAGTGACTTCAGAGTCACACCGCCACGGAATGGGGCTATCTGCTCGCGTCTACGGCTTCATGGAGAGAAGAGTCCAAGGTTCTCTTGTTCTTCTGCTAGGGATTGTCATCTTCTCAGAGATGTGCAGCCTGAGGAATCAGCGAAGGCAGGTGCGGCGAGGAGGGAGGGAGAGGAAGGAGGTGTGTGTTGGGCTTGGGATAGGTAGATTCTGGAGCTCCAGAATTGAGCTTTTGCCTAAAATGCACCTTTTGTAAACAGCATTTATTTTTCTAACAAACCCTTAAGCCTTCAGGCAGGATTTTCATCATCTAACTTGAAGCAGATGGGTAACAAAGACCCCCATATATCTGGATGTGGAAGAATGAAGGTCCGAAAAGAACAGTTACAAGGTTAACTACGTCTCTGCATGGAACAGGACGAGTAGTCTTTAGTTTTTTGCCAATGACTGCCCTGATTGCTCCACAAAGAGGCAAGTGGTGCCTGGAAGTCTGACAACATCTGCCTCAGACACCTGTCCGTTATTAAATGCTCCCATCCCCAGGAGCATTGTGCATCCTCACTTCTTTGTGCCATTGCACAGGTTCTAGATGCCTGAGGGTGTGGTGACACAGAGGCCTGAAGTTGTGTGGTTGCCATGTTTCCGAGTTGACACCAGGCCGTGTGAGTAGGAGCAAGACGCAGGAATGCCAGATCCACGACATTCTCCCTGGCCCACACTGCCTCCTGCACTTCCCCTATGGGAAGCTGCCCCACCACAAGTGACCACCATAGCCTCTTGCTCTGAAGTCAGCCACTTCCCCATCCTTTGCTATGCTTAATTTGTCGTGCTCACCGCTTGCATTCCCTGTGCCCGAATGGGAAAATGCTTGTGGGGAGGACACCAGCCGGTTGTGTTCCCACTGCCCGTTCCCTTCTTGATGCCTCCAGATGTGGGCTCAGTGGGGCAGGACTTGCTCACCATGCAGCTACTCACCTAGAGCAAGGCTTCACACCTCGTGAGCACCCAATGCTCGGTGAATGAAGGCGTTCCAATGCAGGTTTCTGAGAGACATCAAGAATTCTACTGGACTTCCCACTTTTAGTCCTTTGAATAATTCGGGTAATGGGAAGATAGAAAAAGCTTTTCAAACCTGGGTGTTCTTTGTAAGGTTTATTCCAAGTCTAGAGGCACCTTCTGGAATGAGCTCCCCTCTCTGTAAGGGGACACCCCCTCAGCCTGTGGGACTCTGTAGGTAGAGAGGAAGGTAAACCCTGAACATTGAAGAGAAGGAGAAGAAAGTGGGTAATACTAGGGGCAGCCTGGAGTATGAGAGACAGACAGACAGACACAGATGGAGAGGTTGGAAAGGCTGGGCTGGGTCAAGGAGGAGTCAGGAAGCAAAAGGACCTATATGTCGAAGAGCCAGATTTAGGGTGTAAAAGTCAGAGTTCAGTTTTGCTGAAGAGAGTCAACAAAAGAAACAAGGCAAAGGGAGCCAATAACTCCAAGAATCCAGGCCTGCATAAGAACCATGGTCAGGTGCAGGACCCTATGGCTCTAGAGATTTGTCTCCAGTGAGATGAGTTTTACAGAACAACAAAACAAAACAAAACAAACACCGTCAAAGAAGGAATGAAACACAGAGGTAGTTATTAGTGTGCCAATTCACCCTTGTCTAGGAGGGAGAACAGTCCGTAGATCGTTTGCATTCAACAAAAGCAGAATGCAATTCACAAAGAAAAGAGAAGAGGAACAAATGTCTAAAAGGAGCCATTCTTTCCTCTCCTATTTGATAGGCCTCTTGACAGGAAGCAGTTCAGGGTCCCTCCAGCCAGTTTTCTCTGGACTCAGTTAGGTAAATCACCAGAGAAAAACAATTACAATTTTTGGAAGACTTTCCAAACATCTTGGAGGTTTTGCTGTGGAGCATGTGCCAGAGATTATCTCTGGGCACTCAGTGTCCACCATGTCTTTCTGCTGCGTCTACTGCTTAGGTAAGTCAGGCGGGCACCATCCCCTCACTGGTACATCAGACTGATGTATGGAAACTTTGCTGTGCTGGCAAGAGCACGAAGGAAAAGGCTCTCTCACTGAGTTGGAAAAATATATTGGAAGATAAATTGGCACACCTACTGTTGAAGTCAAACTAAGAACACGTAAAGAGATGCCTTCAGCTCCTGGCAATGTTGGAGTAACAGATGCCCAATTTACTCTCCTACCTGAAATCTGCCCGCTGCTCCTCTCCACAAACAAACAGGTGCCTGTAATCCCAGCAGTTTGGGAGGCCGAGGTGGGCTGATCCCTTGAGTGCAGGAGTTTCAGACCAGACTGGGCAACATGACGAAACCTCAGTGCTACCAAAAAAGTTCAAATAATTATCCAGGCATGGTGGTGTGTGCCTGTAGTCCCAGCTACTCAGGAGGTTGCAGTGGGAGGATCATTGGAGCCTGGGAGGCAGAGGTTGCAGTAAGCCAAGATTACACCACTGAGTTCCAGCTTGGGCTACAGGGTGGGACCCTGTCTCATGGAAGGAAGGAAGGAAGGAAGGAAGGAAGGAAGGAAGGAGCCGGTGTGGTGGCTCACAACTGTAATCCCATCACTTTGGGAGTTTGAGTCCAGTGGATCACAAAGTCAGGAGATGAAGACGATCCTGGCTAACACGGTGATACCCCCATCTCTACTCAAATTACAAAATACAAAAAGTTAGCTGGGCGTCGTGGCACGTGACTGTAGTCCCAGCTACTTGTGAGGCTGAAGCAGGAGGACTACTTGAACACGGGAGGCAGAGGTTGCAGTGAGCCAATATCACACCAAAACCACAGTATCAGAGATGAGAAATTTGCTGGATGGGATTAACAGCAGATTAGACGTTGAGGAAGAAATGATCAGGGAATATGGAACCATGAATAATTGAAAATATGCAAAATGAAACTCACAGACAATAGATTTTTTTTTTAGTGAAATGATTATCAGTGAACTGTAGGGCAGACTTAAGAGACCTAATTTATGAGTAATGGGAGTCCCTGAGAAGGAGCAGGGAGGAAAGGAAACATTTATTTTCTTTCTGTGTTATTTTTATTAGGAATGGGGTCTCAGTACGTTGTCCAGGCTGGTCTTGAATTTCATGCCTCACTCAACACTTCCCGATTTGGCCTCCTGAAGGTGTGAGCCACTGTGCCTGGCCAATTTCTGAAGAAACAATAGCTGAAAAGTTCCCAATCATAACAAAAATTATAAATCCAGTGACTCAAAAAGTTGAGGAAACCAAAGCACAAGAAACATGAAGAAAACCACTCCTAGATACATCTTAATAACATTACTCAAATCCGACCAGAAGAAAAAGACATTGTACATACACAGAAACAAAGATGAGGATTGCATCAGCTTCCTTTCTGCTCTGCCGGACTCTACCAGGAGCAGCAATGCAGGCAAGCAGAGAAGCAACATCTTTAAAGTACTGAGGGCAGGGGAAGTTAGCCTAGAATACTATGCCAGAAAAAATAAATTCCCAAAAGTGGAAGTGAAATAAGGACATTTAGAGATGTACAAAAGCCGAACAAATTCACTACCAGCCCGCCCACACTACAAGAAACATCAAAGCAGTCCTCCAGGCAGAAGGAATCCCATACCAGATGAAAATCCAGATCTACAGGAGGAAATGAAGAACACCAGAAATGGGTAACTATACTAGGTATTTTTTTATTTTGTAAATTTCTTTTGTAAAAATTTGACTATTTAAACAAAAGCAATAACACTGTGTTGTTGGGTTTATAACATACCTAAAAGTAAAGTACATGTCAGCAGTAGCGTCAAGGCCAGAAGGTGCGGTTTAATATCACTTGAAGGTTGACTGGGATCAGTTAAAAAGGTTTGCTCTAAGCCCTAAGGCAATTACTAAAATAACAAAAGAAAGAGTTATAGTTAATAAGCCAACAGAGGAGAGAGAATGGAATCATATAAAAACCGTGTGAACACTATGATAGAGTAATTGCTCTTCCTATAGTAATTGAACCACTATGCTGTAGAAATTCTTACACCAGTGGCTGAAAATGCCCGTACAAGAATGTCTAGAGCATTATATGTTTATTGTAAAATCACGGAACCAATTTAACCTCAAAAGCGTATAGAAAGGGCTAAATGAATGACAGTTAAAGAGAGAGAGAGAGAAGAGCGCGCCAGGTGCGGTGGGTAATCCCAGCACTTTGGGAGGCCGAGGGGGGCGGATCACGAGGTCAGGAGATGGAGACCACCCTGGCCAACATGGTGAAACCGTCTCTACTGAAAATACAAAACTTCTCTGGGCGTGGTGGCGC